TTACGACGTCGTTCTGAAGCCGAGGAACTGAATTTGTGGCAACAAGCAGAGGTAGTCCCGGAGCATTGTCGGTTCGGGTCCGGAAAATGACCCGGTTTAGATATTCGGGTTTGGGTTTTTTTTGCAGTTGTGGGTAGTTGCCGTAGTTGGGATTCTTGCACCATTGGAGTGTTGATCATGGGCGAATTTATTTGTTTATGGGGTCTCAAGTTTGATAAATGTCACTTTCCTCCCCAAATTTCAATTTAAATAATATGTACTATGCATGATATTACACTTTCTATTTTAAAATACAGTAGAAACAAACAAAATTCTATTAATTTATTAAATATTACCGAACTAATAGTTTAGTAGGTTTTTACAATTAGTATTTAAGTTATGTTATTGATTTATCGAGTATTAATTTTCGAGATTCTACTGTAACTAGTTTTCGTAATGTATTACGAAAGCTAATAAATAGATTTTATTTTTTTGAAAAAAGATGTAATAAAATTAAATTATCCTTCTAACTATTTTTTTTTCATTAGTTATTCTCTCCATTTATGCAAATTAATAATTAAAAGAATTTATGAGTAACAAGAATAAATATTTTCTCATTCAATTCGCATCGAAATAGAATATCCAAATTAATCTGAATGGGGTTTCTTTGTCATGAAATGAGAAGGATTATGGTAAATTTATATTATGTAGTTTCGTTGGGGCCGATTTGCAAATTACGGGTAGGTAGATCCTTGGATAAAAAAACTGACGGCTCCCACGTGCTTTCTTTAATTCGAAAGTTGACCCAATAATATATTAAATTATTATTTTATGTCATAAATTTGTTGACAAGTAAAATATTTAATGAGAAAAATACAATTTAGGCTTCTCAGGTTTTCATCGATTTCACATTTGTCCCGTATTAAAAAAAATACATTTAATTCCTTAGCTTAGAAATTCAAAAATTAAGTTATTCTCATCAATTTTCCGCATGTGCCCATAACTATCTTGGCAGGGTAACAGAAAATTGACGAAAAAGACCAATTGAAAAATGAAGGACCAAATGTACTTTTTATGAATATCGGGACCTAATGTAAAATAAGTAGAAAATTAAGGGGTGCAAACTGTAAATTTCAGAATACAAATACGTAATTGAGAAGAAAAGGATAAGTATTTTTTTACAGGATATTCCATGAACTTAAACTTCGAATATTCTTCAGAGTGGAGAAATTATTTAATAAAAATTTAAATCTTTTTCATAAATCGAAAAGAAAAAAAAAAAGAATTTTGAAGTCTACGAAGAAATTGAAGTGTGCACAAATTTAAGATATTCTCGATATGGTGGTGATTTCTTTCGGTTATGTTCTAGAATTTTCGAGAAAAAAGAAATGCAAATGAACCAACTCAAAAATTGAGCCCACAAAAATCTTGTCTACAAAATCATAGAACATAAAACGACGAGGTTTGAGGAATAACAAGCATAGTTGTATTAAGGGAAACACAAAAGTCTTCAAAACTCACTACCAAATGCCTAAACGAAACCTTTTCCATCGAATCTACAGGTCCTGCACGCTCAAACCTACAAAAGGCAGCACCGAAAATGGCGCCACGTCAGCGAATCGAAATCAAGAAAAGAAAACGACATCCATGCCCAAAACAGCAAACACAGAGAGAAAAACTAAAGGGGTTTAAATTGTTGCGCAAAAAAACAGCAAACTAAGAGAGAGAAGCATATTTCTAGCACCGAGTGAGCTTCAAAAATCGATTCTTTAGAATCATATCCCATAAACCGAACGAAGGATACAAAGATTGATTGCGTCAGAACTATTTAATAAGTGCATTAAATATTCAAAATTATATAAAAAAACGGGCGAACGAGATGGTTAGATATCAGCAAAAGGGAATATACCTGGTGGGAGGGATTGCTTCAACTTGTCGGCCTTCTCGGTGTCGAACACGCAAAGGGTGTAAAGGTACTTTGAGCAACGGACTTTGAACTTGACTGCATCCTTGCTTCTCTTGATTTTCACCGATCGTGCATCTTTCCTTCTTGCAGTGAGAAGGAAATCCTTGATCTCGTGGATTTGCTTAGGCTGTATAATCAACGAATTCGTTAATATAATGATAGATTGACTTCAATTCAGCGAGAAAAAAAAAATTCATTAACGAGCATACAGTAATTATCGAGAAAATGTATTCATCGGAAGAAAAAGATTTTGCTTTGGTGACGAATCTAAAAGCAAAAGCTATGTGGTATCCGCAAGGCAGTGATACGAAATCGAAGATAACTCTTAGCCGATGTGATTAAAATCGAAACAAACAAAATCGAAGATAACTCTTAGCCGATCTGCTTAAAACTGAAACAAACATCTCTCTCTCTCTCTCTCTCTCTCTCTCTCTCTCTCTCTCTCTCTCTCTCTCTCTCTCTCCTCTCTCTCTCTCTCTCTCTCTCTCTCTCTCACACACACACACACACACACACGTTATGGATCTAAAAGCAAAAGTATGTACTGGAATCGACAAGGCACAGATACAGAATCGAAGATAACTCTTCGCCGATCTGATTAAAATCTCTCTCTCCCTCTCTCTCTCTCTCTCTCACACACACACACAGTATATATTCACTCAGCACAGTGTTGAAGCAACATTTTTTCCATGTCTAGATTCATCCATGAATCTATAGATATACAAACACCCAAAGAATTGTTTTTTTTTTTTTAATTAATTTTCATCAATAATTTTAACATCTTCATTTTCATCGATAATTTAACATCTTCATTTTCGTTAACAATGCGAAATGATTATTCAGATAAACAAAACAAAAACAAAACAAAACAAAAATCGGATATGATAAGAAAAAATTACCATGGTTTCAATTCCGGGGGAGAGAGCTTGAGCTGGTTGGCCGCAGTTGGAGAAGAAGTGTAAAAACCCTAGCTGCGTTGTTATGTATATTTGACTGTCTCGTTTCAACAAATCTTCGGCCCAAATTGAAATTGGATTAGCCCAAATACAAATTGGAATAGCCCAAATCGAAATTGGATTAGCCCAAATATTCCAGCATTTTGCCCTGATAAATGTAATTATTATATTTATACCCCTGATAAATGGACAAAATGCACTTTGCCCCCTAAAACTTTTCAATTTTAGTACTTTCCTCCCCTACAAATTTAAAAAAAAAAAAAAAAAAAAGATTATACGCATTCCAAATTTTGTTTAAGTTGCACTTTGCCCCAAAGCACAATATTTAATGTATTTTTCGTCGTTTGTCGTCAATCGGTCAACTTCCCAGTCATTTTATTTTGTTCTCGTCCAAATCCTGATATCGTTATCATTTATTTAGATATAATATAATATATAGTATAAAAAGAGAATCTATAAGCTCAATGAATGACACGTGTCGCTTAGTCGACACTAAATTACTTATGTGTTTGAGTCAATTGCTTAGTTGTCACCTTTTATTTTGGTATGTACTAAAATTGTTTCTTATTTAACATTTGCACACAGATTTAAACATTACTATATATACATATACTCTCATAAATTTTATAAAGTAAAAAAATATTATCTTGTTTGTAATTTTAATTTTCCAAAAAATGAAATGTTCAAATGATTTTTCAGTTTACTTTATTTAAATAGTTAAATTAATAAACTTATAATTTAACTATACATTTTAATAATGTATAAAAATTTAGTGTATTTGAATAATACACACTTCTTGAAAAAAAAAACCATATTAAATTAGTCGAACTTCTACTTAATATCTATGTAGCACAGAAACTTTAACTTCTTAACGTTTCGCGTCCAACAATTGAGGACATCTATCGGCAATCTTATGAACCATTTTGCAATTTCTAAAAAATTAAACAGCAAATTTTCAGATATTTTCATAATTTGGCCATACTCAGGGTGGCAGTAACTAGGCCAATATATATATATATATATATTTGCCATAAGTATGTTAATTAACAAATATATTCACTGCGTGCGAGTACACAATAATTTGATTGATTATTTATTATAGTAAAATAAAAAAATTAAAGTAAAATTTAATTCCGTATATACACACATGTATAGAGAAAGAATCGGGCTCAGAATCCAAGAAGACGCCCAACTCTTTCCATCTTCTCTCTCTCTACTCTCTCTCTCTCTCTCTTCAATATGACGAGTTCTTTTGTTTTTTCACTGTTTGAGAAAGCACTTTTAAAATTCTTGTTTTGGTTTTTTCCTTGGAATATTAATATTATTATTATTAATATTAATAATTGCAGACAGCTCCTTTTTCTTCGTCTCGAAGTGTTCTCTGCTATATGTAAACCATAGATTCTTTGATCAACACTATCAGGTTTTTCTGTAAGTTTCATTCAGCTTTATTCAATCTTTTGTTTGCAACACAGTTTCTGTTTTTTCATCCCAAATTCCAAAAGGGTTTTAATTTTTATTTTTTTTAAGGATTGTTTATTAGTGTGTGTGTGTGTGTGTGTGTGAATCAATTTCTGGTATAAAAGAAGGGAACTTTCGTTATTGTATTTCTCGATTTCCATCTTTTATTTGAATTGTTGAATGTTTCCTTATTTTTCAAGCAGGAGCTATTAATTTCTTAATATAGTGTGTGTGTGCGTGTGTGTGTGTGTGTGTGTGCGCGCGCGCGTGTGTGTGTGTGTGTGTGTGGGGTATTAAAGAAGGGGACTTTTGTTATTGTATTTCTTAATTTCCATCTTTTATTTGAATTGTTGAATGTTTCTTGATTTTTTAAGCAGAAGCTATTAATTTCTTAATAGTATATCTTTTGTGTGTGTGTGTGTGTGTGTGTGTGTTGATTTGAAGCAGGAGCTTTACTATACTCCAGTGCTAGAAAGTAAAGTTTTAATTTTTTTACTAATGATTTATTTAATTTCGAATTGCGTATTCTGGATTAAGAAGTTGTATGTTCATACACTCTGGAGTTGATTCACAGCCATTATTTTTTTTAGGGAATACTAAATTTAATTTAATTAAAAAAAATCAAGAAAGGAGAAATCAAATGGGGACGAATAATACGAGCACGAATGGAGAAAGCCAGCACGTTGTTGCCGATCCCGTCTCCTTTGCAAGAAGGTAGCCGATTATACAATTAACTTTCGAAGTTTATTTATTAGCTTTGAAATTCCTGCAAAAATATGATATTTAATTTTGAATTTTTTTTTGGTGATCGTAGTTATCAGCTCGAAGCACTGGAGAAAGCACTGAAACAGAATACGATTGTTTTCTTCGAAACCGGCACCGGAAAAACCCTAATAGCAATAATGCTTCTTCGAAGCTACGCTCACTTACTTAGAAAGCCGTCGCCTTACGTCGCTGTTTTTTTGGTCCCTACTGTTGTTTTGGTTACCCAAGTATGTTGACTTTTTTTTTTTTTCGTTTCGATTCAAATTTTTTTTTTTTTTTAATTTATGCAAAAAATAATATATAATTTTTTTAGCAAGGTGAAGTTGTGTCGGCGCACACCGACTTGAACGTGGGAATGTACTACGGTGAGTTGGGTGTCGACTTTTGGGATGCTGCCATGTGGAAGAAACAGAAGGAAGACACGAGGTGCGGTTGAAAAATATTACGTGACGTTAAAATTCATAGTATTGTAATTTAAGTTAATTATTCGTGTTTCTTGAAGTTGTGCTAATAATTATTTGTTTATTTGATTTGTTTCAGGTGCTTGTAATGACACCACAAATATTGGTCGATGCTTTGAGGCATC